GTCCCCTCACTTCTTGGCTCATTACAGATTTTATAAACACTGTGTGTGTGTGTGTGTGTGTGTGTGTGTGTTGCTGGGAGTGGAACTCAAGGCCTTGCACATGCTAGGCAGGTGCAAGCGCTCTCCCACTGAGCCACACACCTCCAGCCCTTTGTTACTGATTTTAGTACTTTCATAAGGGTATTAAAGTTGGAAGTACTGGAGTTTGCATTTTCTAGTACTTTCTCAGAGGTCTGATTTATAACATACTGTAAAGGAAGTAAATATATAGAAGCCCAATTTTTTAAATAAATTAACAAAGTTGTTTCCAAACCTCCATTACCAGCAATATCTTCAACTTATTTGTCAATGATAGATTGACATTTTATATGCTTTTTAAATAGGGGAAGGTGAAAAATGGTAAATTGACCATTATTACAGGTAAGAGGTTTTAGTCTACCTCTCTTTTATAGGAGTTTGCCCTCCAGATGCTTTAGAGGGAACTCAAATAAGAATATTTTTTCAAGAGGCAGGATGATACCTCCTTATAAAAGCGACAATCAATTTGTACATTTAAATTGCCAAAGTTTAAAAAATTTTTACATCCCTATGCTAAACCTGCTGCCCCATCCACCTCAATTCAGAAAGGGCTCAGCCTCCACCCCAAGCTACAGGACCTGGGCATTTTATTTCAGGTGAGGGCCTATAGGGACACTGGTGGCCCCAGGATGGAGTGTGTGTGTTGGGGGTGGGGAGGTGGCCAGACAGGATCACCCATTTCCTATCAAATCACAAACAGTGTCTATGGGTTGAGATCCAGGTTATACCTATTTGGTATAAGGTCTTTTGTTATTATTTTAATTCCCCAAGTTATATCTCAAATGTTGGGAAATGCCGCTAGACCATGTCACTTCAGAAGGTTTTTGTACATACCAGTTTGGTAGATTGAATTATTAATCTACTTTCTGTTCAAAAAACACCAGCAAGGGTTTTTTGTTTTTTTGTTTGCTGAATTCATCATTATCCTATTAAGGACTGACAAATTGCTTGGTAAGATCAGGATTACCTTTTCTTCTTTTCATTTGCTGATAAATTTCCAAGATGCATTCTGCTGTTGCAAGTTTCTGTAATGTTTTTTCTGTGATACCTTTCTATTGTCTGAATTTAAATTAAAATGTTTCTAATAATATCTGTTTGGCAGTGTGTTGCTTTGCTTTAATAAATCTTCAGCATTTAGAGACAGAATAGAGGGGAGCCATGTGCACGTTTAAGAGGTGTGCCTGGAACGCACCCCAGACCTTCCCAGAAGGCCCTGGCACTAAGCTGCCCTGGAGTTTATCTATGGTACAGGGAGACTATGCTGCACCTGACTGTGCTGGTTGACAACATTGAATGTGCTTCATTCCAGGAAGCATCTCTTAACGTGTTTAAATTTTTATTAAAAGATTCAAATCTGAAATGTTGCTAGAAGATAAACTGCTTAGATCAGGAATTTGGGATCAAAATAGAGTCTCATCACAGGAAATGCTCACAGAGCAAACTACCCCAGGTACTCATGTCTGGGCTCTGGTCTCCCCAACATACCAGCTTCCTGAGTCTCACTTTCCAACGCTACCTTATCTGACCCTTAGGACAGTCAGGAAGAGAGGGAGGAAGACTTCCCACCTGCCTCTTTGTTTCTAAGACTCCTTGCCATCCCTTTTCTCTGATCTTCAGACTTAACCTTACTTTTTTGTTATAGCAGTTTTTACCTTTCTTGTTTTTATTTCAGAAAGAGACTGTCCTAGTCCACCCACTTTTAAATCTTGAGTTGTCTCCTTCTTCCTTAAGAATTTGCCTTCCTGGTATCCCAGTTCTATTCATTCTTGGTTCTGTAACAACTGCACCTGTACCTAAAGCAATGAACAGTTAACACAAGTGTTAGGGACTGGATTTATCCTCTTGTCTTAAACAACTAGAAAATGCAGAAAAATAAAGGGGATCAGGTAAATGGAAAAGAGAAAAACAGTTCAGAAGACAGTGAAATTAAAATATGGTTATTCAAGAAGTTCAACAAAATTGATGAATCACTAGGCACAGTGATCAGGAAAAAGAGAATGACAGAAAAGACTCAAATTAGCTATATAAAAAGTGGGAGATGTGGTATTACTGCATCTTCTATAGATAACAAAATAATAATACATAAATACTATAAACAATGTTTTGTCAATAAATTTGACAATTCAAGTAAATGTTCATAGCATTCTTATTCAGAATCACTCCCAAATTGGGGGAAAAAAAACCCCAATGTCCATAAATTGATGAATGACTAAAATGTAGTCTATCCGTACTATGGCACCATTTGGCAATAAAAAGGAATGAAGTACCAATATATGCTACATTACAAATGAACTTTTAAAATTATGCTAATAAGCCAGTCACAGAGAATTGCATGTTGTATAATTCCACTTATATGTAATGTTTAGGTAAATCCATAAAAAAATATATACAGAAAGTAAGTTAGTAGTTGCTTAACCTGGGAGGAGGAGGAGAAGAGGGAGGAGGAGGAGGGTGAAATTATAATTAAGAAGTATGGTGTTTCTTTTGGGGGTGTTGACAATATTACAAAATTGACTGTGGCAATGCTTGCATATATTAAAAAGCTATTGAGTTAGACAAGTTAAATGTGTGAATTATACGATATGTGAATTAATAAAGCTGTTAAAAATCAATACAATATGCGGCAGAAAATATAAAGAAAAGGGAAGGGAAAAGTAAGAAACAAATAGAAAGGTGAATCAAATTGAAAGATGATAGATTTAAACTCAATGGTATTGGTAATCATACTAAACATAAACAGTCTAAATATAAAGAACCTTTATGTAAAGGCAGAGATCATCAGATTTTGTTAAAAAAGCAAGAGCCAACTATATGCTCCCTATAAGAAATCCACTTTATAAAAGTACAAATTTTTTAAAATGATTTTTATTAGTTGTAGATGGACACAGTATCTTTATTTCATTTATTTTTATGTGGTGCTGAGGATTGAACCCAGTGCCTTACAGCAAGCAAGGCAAGCGCTCCACCTCTAAGCCACAACCCCAACCCTAAAGGTACAAATTTGAGAAGCACAATTGAATGGAAATGATATGCCATGTAAACATCAATCAAAAAAAGATTGATGTTTACATGGCATAAATATTGGACAAGGTAGAGTTCAGAGAAAATAATATTACCAGGAATAAAAATAAAAATAATTTCATAAAGGAGTAAATTCATCAAGAGGACCTAAGTGTTTTTGCACCTAATAATAAAGACACAAAATGCATTAGGTAAAACTCAATAGGCAAATTCACATGTGGTTACAGATGCAATATCCCACTCTCCATTATAACTGATAAAGACAGTAGAATGGAAATGAGGAAGGACATAGAAGACCTGAGCCACAGTGTCAGGCAGCCCCAGACTACTACTGTCTGTTGGACACCCTACCTAACAACAGCAAAACCCACATCGTTTCCTAGTGGATTGGAACATTTTCCAAGAACATAACCCTGGCCCAAGAACAAGGCTTTAAACATTTAAAAGGGTTCAAGTCATACAAAGAATGTTTTCTAATCACAAAATAACTAAATTAGAAATAAAAGAAAAAGGTCTGGAAGTTTTCCAAATACTTTTAAAACTAAATAAGCAGTTACAAAAAAATCAATGAGTGAAAGAAGAAATCAAAGGGAAATTTAAATGTATAAAGAGAAAGACAAAAATAAAAGTCAAAATTTAGGATTAGCTAAGTCAGTACTCAAAAATGTAGAGAATAAAAAGCTATATTGAAAAGAATGTCACAAAATAATGACCTCAAATTCCACATTCAGAAATGTGAAAAAAATATACCGAAATAAAGTTGAAATTATCAGAAGAAAGAAAACATTAAAGGCAAGAGAAGGGTTTGATGAAACAGAAAACAGGGATCCAGTGAGAAAATTAAAAGCATTTTAAATGAATGAAAAAGCTATGGACTGGAAGAAAACATTTGCAATTACATAATCTGTCAAAGAAACTTCGCAAAATTCAACAAGGGGGAAAAAAGGAATGGAAGCAATAGATTTTAAAAGATACTTTGTCAAAGAAAATAAATATGCGAAGTGCAACACCATTAATTAGGAAAAAGCAAATTAACACCACAATGAGTTTCCACTGCCAACTTGTTATAAAAATGTGAAAAAATTCTTGTCTTTACTGTAAATTCAAACTACTCTTCCACTGGATGATGGCAAACTCAATCATCTAATGTTGACCAGGATAATTAAATTTCTCGAGAACTGCCCCATCCAGGAGGCTTACCTGGTTCCCCTCAAGCAAGCAAGATCTCTGCTCCCTCCTTCCTGTCCCTGGGCTTAGATTCAGCCCTCTGTTCCTGGCCTTGGTGGTTCAGCCTCTGAGGGGACAGTTGCCAGTCTGCTCAACCCCCATTTCCTTATAGTTTCTGTGCAAGATGCCATGAACTGAAATATTCCTACCAACCCTGGCCAGGATTAGCTCCTCTCCATCCCAGATTCACCAGCTAACAGTCTGGCGGCTCCAGCTTCTGGTGGAGCATCCCACCCCTTAATCAGCACGACCTCTTTCCACCTCTTCAGAATTTGAACATTTCCTACATATCTGAGCAAGATGAACTCTGACCTCCCCAAGGTGACAGTTCCTGGCTCCCTGCAGAATCTTCTGGGACTGTTCTCACATTGCAATATCTTCAGAAAGGCTCAAGCTGACGGTGCTTGGAACGTTCTCCCCTCTCCACGGTTTACTTGACACATTCCTTCTAAGCCCAGAAACGGAAGCATCCTTCCAGGAGGAAAGCAGTCATCAGGGCCAGAGGCATCTGCAGCACCCGGAATGTTGTCAAGGCAGCTCTGTGAAGGCACAGGCCCTGGCCACCCTACACTCGGTGTCACTCTGATTCAGCCTAAAGGGCACTCCCTGGAGGACCCCAGGGTCTGGAAAGTGCAGGGCAACCAAGTCTGCCTTCGAAACAATGTCGTAGCTTTTTATAAGGCTTCTTGAACCAAGGCTGCAAGTGGGGGGACTTTGGTGCCTGCCTTTTGCAGGCTCAGCTCTTCACAGTCTATGTTTGCGGTTTCTTGAGGTCTGTGACTTAGTATTTCCTTCCTCTGCTGTATACAGAAGGCAGCAACTTCCCGTTCTTCCAGATCCAGGAAAGGCTGTCTCAAGCCCTGGAGCAGAGAGAGAGAGAACTAAGTGTGGTGCTGGAGGACACAGTGCAGGGTCCCAGTGTCAGCTCCCTGGAGCTCTCTCTGAGGGGTTCCTCCAAGTGGGGCTGGTGCTGCTATTCTGACTCTCTACCCCTAATTTGGTGGAGATCAAGGAGCAATGTTGGAGCGGGGCTCTCTGAACTGAGCCTACACAGCCTGAGGACTGGGGATGTCTGTTTGTCACAGGGGAATGTTCTGAGAATGTATAGAGTTCTTAAAAATACTCTCTCCACTCCAGATTCTGCCTCCCTTAGGATCGTGCGTTATACAAAATATCCACGGGTCTTTAGGTCTATGTGGAGCCAGAAGCACTCACCTGGCTCTGGGGTTCACTTGCTCTCAAAGGGTCTGGAGATAGGGAGGGGCGTTCTTGCCTCCAGTGATTGCTGCAGGGTCAGTAGAAGGCTGGGGGCTTCAGCCAGGGCTCTTGGGCACCAAAACAGCTTCATGGGGCAAGTCTGAGCTTTTGTCTCAGCTTTCCTTCTATTCAAGGGACTCTGGGGTGTGGACCTGAAGGATGCATGTTTTCAAGTGCTCTTCATAGGTCATGTCTAGTCTGTGCACTTTTTTTTTTTTTTTGGTGCTGGGGATTGAACCCAGGGACTTGTGCATGTGAGGCAAGCACTTTGCCAACTGAGCTATATCCCCAGCCCCTAGTCTGTGCACTCTTTGAACTTAACTGGTACAAAATTTCTTAAACTACAAAATGAAAATTCTCCTTGGATTTTTTTAGCACTTTCATGCTAAAAATCTGTGGCTTGTTGGAGTTTACTTTCTAATAAAATGGACAGAGAAATAAATAGAAGAAAGAAAATTACAAACTGTGATGAGAGTAATGAAGGAATCATAGAAGATTAAAACAGAGGAAACTGGGTCTGGTTGAGATGAGAGCCAGATGGTCCCTGACTGATGATGGTTTGACTCAAAATATTTCAACTTTACGAAGGTGCCATAGAAATCTGCATTCAACAGAACCTTCTCGAATTTTGAATTTTGCTCTTTTCTCGGGCTGGCATTCTGTGGTGTCATTCTCTCTCCAGGTGCAGGGAAGTGGCAGAATTGGGTTTGGCCATGAGATCGCCAGGGTGCACAACCAAGCATAGCGTGTGGTACTGCTAAGCAACGGAGGAGAGGTCTGGTAGGTCAAGTGTATGAAACACATTTCCATTTAGTGATATTTTCAATTTAAAAGGGGTTTATAGGTGTGCAACTCCATCGCGAGTTAAAGAACACCTATGCAGAATGTGTTCTGTCCCTTTTGAGATGGCAGGACTCGAGTTCAGGTCTAAAGGACAAGAAGCAGTGGAAGTGGAGGGCAGATGGGTCTCACACAGGGCGAGCAGCTCACATAATGGCCCTAAGGAAGGTGTTCTTTTAAACATGCAAATACTGTCCCTCTTCAGCTTCCACTTAGAATATGGAGAGCTGGAAAGATGGTTGCTCCCACTCTAAGAAAAGTCAATATGCAAAATCATAACTTTTCTTGAACCCATTAGAGAACTGAGTTTGAAGCTCCTCTAGTATGAGATCTAATAAAGGACAGACACCTCACCAGGTGTGGCACTGCATGCCTGTGATCCTAGTGACTCTGGAGGCTGAGGCAGGAGGATTGCAAGTTTGAGGCCAGCCTCAATAACTTAGTGAGACTATATCTCAGAATAAATATAAATTGGGGGGGAAAAAAAGGACTGGGCATGTAGCTCAGTGCCCCTGGGCTCAACACTGAGTACTCCCCTCGCCTCAAAAAAACAGGCAACTCCAAGGAGAGACAGCGTAAGCACTGGTGTATGTCAGGCACAGCATGATAGGATGGGAGCAGCGTGGGGCTGCCATGTGAATCGATAAGATTTCAGTTGAAATTTTGAGAAATCACCCATGGACAAATGTAGAATCCATGGGAGCCACAACACAGGAAGTCCTCATCTACTGGTAGCCATTGGTCTTGGACCTCACCGGGTACTCAGGAGAAAGACTCGGGTCAGGGCAGGTGCTGGGAACACCTTCCTCAGTGCAGCCACTACTGCCATAAAGGCAACAATCCCCGCCCAGATCCATGTTCCGTAGGGGACGGGGCCTCAAGCCACTGAGGGAAGAAGGGTGAACTAAGGCTAAGATGACACCAGCAAGTTGGACACCTCTGTGTCTACAGCAACTCCACCCACAAAACCCAGCTCAGGTCGGCTCCAGACTGTCCACTCCCCAGGACACCAAGGCCCGGGACAGATGGTCTACCACACAACGTCAAGTTTTCAATGGAAAATTATGAGACATGCAAAAAAAGAGAAAATGAAAAACAAAACAAAACAAAAACACTGTCAAGAAAAATAATAATTGTTAGGTGCAGGACAGGCTGAATAAGTTGTCTGCAGGGCATGCCAAACAAAGTTAGCTGCAGGATGACCTGGCTTCTCAAACCCTCTGTCTGGTTCTTTATCACCTGTTTGCTTCAAGCCCAAATGCCCAAGCCCCCGCTCAGGGCTGAACACTTAACCCCCTTGTGTGCCAACAAGGCAGCTTGCAAACCCAGGGACCCTATTAGATTTGAGCTATAAAATCTCCCTCCTACCGCACCCTTCTCTCTTGCTCTCTCTCGCCTTCTCTTTCTCTCTTTTCGCCTCTGTTGCACTGCTGCAATAAAGATCTCTTGGTTGCTCTGAGTGTTGTGGTCACTTTCCTTTCAATAATCATTTTTAAAAAGCCCAGACTCTGACATGAGCCACTTATTGAAATTGTCAGACAGGAAATTAAAATAATTATGATTAATATATTCAAGCTTTAGTGGGAAAAGCAGGCAAAAATGCGTGGACAAATTGGGAATCGCAGCAGAGATTAACAACTATTAAAAACAATAAATGGGAATGCTAGAAGTAAGAGAAAATATGGTAACAGACATGGAGAAGGCTTTGACAGGCTCAGTCACAGACTAGATACAGCTGAAGAAGTAATCAGTGAGAGGGGAAGGTCAGCTGATAGAAATTAGCCAAACAGAAACAGGAAGTCAGGTGACAGGTCTGGGGAAGGAACAAAGTTGAGTTTGTTAAGCAGAAGAGAGTATCCTTGCAAATGTTGCCATTTACCACGTCCCCATGGCCACTTACCCTGAGACTTGCAGCTTCTGCAGCCTTCACGGTCTTGAAGACAGCCTGGAGGAGCCACTGGGCATTGTCCACCAGCAGCTCCTCAGAGGACCTGCTTCTTGCCAAGGAGGCCTTTACACTTGGGAGTGTACAGAAGAAAAGCCAGTCTTACACTGGGCAGGATGGCAATTTCAACTAAATAATAAATGCCAGAAGGTTTTACAACATGAGCCTCTTCCAGAAAACTGGGGTGCCCTGGGGGGCCTATTTGAAGGAAGAATGCTCTAAAGGCTAATTTCACATTTTAAACTGACATTTTTATTTTAATGCTAAAAAAGTGTGACTCTCATAGAATCTATAAATTAACAAGAAGTATATTTTTAATGAAAATAACTGAGCTGATGTAACACAACCAATGCAACTACCTCAGATAATGAAAGGGAATAAGAAATTTTGTATAGAATTGTATTCAAGTCTTAGATTTAAACTTGTGATGGAAGGTCAGACTAAGTAAATTGACATTTCAATAGTATTTGTTTTAAACTGAATATAACTGAATTTAGTCAGGTCATTTTCTACCACTGAAAATAAAAATGCTGTGGAACTTAAGTAACTCACTTTGTCAAAACTGCAAGACCTCTGGGTCCGTTAGAAGGCGGAGAGCTTGATAAATGCACCTGGAATACTCATGTGGTTCTGCCTTCTTCCTTCCCTCCTCCCTCTTTCTTTCCCTTTTCCCATGTGCTGGGGTGTGGGGAGCCACTCCGGAATGAACGCCTTCCAGTCCTGAAGCAGGGATAGCAAGGCGTGGCTTCAGGTGTAGGTGCACCCGCTTGGCTTGAGTTACACTCACCTCTCCCTTGTAATCCTATCCCTTCTGCCCTTTTATGGATAGAACTCCCTAAGAACAGTGTCCTCCCAAATAAAAAAGGTCACTTCCAAATGTGTTTCTCTCTCTCTCTCTCTCTCTCTCTCTCTCTCTCTCATCAGCCTCTCATGACTTTCTCTTGCTCTCCCTTTTGGGGGAAAGGAGAGTGGGGGAAAGTCCTGAAGCTTGGGTAAAGGTAAGTCATGTCTGTGTTTTATTTTGTGTCACCCCATATTCACACGAGCGACCTTAATTCAGTCCCCTGCGATGGATGGGGGTGGCACTGGAGGTTGAACCCAGGCCCTCTGCATGCTAAGCATGTTTTCTGATGCCTGAGTATCAGGACTGCCCCCCCGCCCCGAGAGTTAGCCAATTTCCAGACGGTAATGAGTCACCTGCAGACACACCTTCCATGTGTGAACCCACCCTCCCAGAGCCCTCACCCCCACCTCTTCCTTTACCTGCTTCTCTACTCCAGGCCACACCGAATTGCCCTCATCATTCCAAGGCCAACTCCCATACTCAGAGCCCCTGAAATCCTTCAAACTCACCAGACCTGGACGTGCCAGCCTGCTTGTGCTGCCTGGCCTGTGCTTCCTGTGAACACCACGGCACCTGCTCTTGCCGATGGCTCCCCTCGCTCCTCTACCGGGGTCTGACCCTGGTGCTTCCTTGTGCGGCCCTGGGTGGCATGCTGTGCCTCCTGCCTCTGGCTCTGTGAGCACAAAACTGCCTTCTTCACCTGTGTGTTTGCCTTCTGTCTACCTGGTCAAGGCAAATCCCAGACCCTTATAACAATACCCATATATGAAATGCTAGAAAAATGTTGGCAGCTAATCTTGAGGTGACTGTGTACCTAAGATATTATTTCTTGGAGAAAAGTAGCTAGGTTTTATTTGCTAATTTAAAAACAATTTATGTACCTGGTTTGGGTGATATTTACTTTTATACCTCAGAATAATTGACAGTAGCTCTAACTACCGAGCTTTCCATAATGTAAGGAACTCGGGTGGAAAGGGAACAATCCTGTGGTCTTGACCACGTTCTGTACTATCAACAGGAAGCTGTTGTGAGGAGACAGTCAGTGGGAGCTGGTCAGTTGCACAGTCTGGCTCTGGGCTGGCATGGTCTTCCTGGAGGATGACGTCCATGCACATCCATGATCTTCTCGCTTGCCATTCACGAACAGCCAGCATCGTGAATGACAGGGACATATTCTGAGAATGCGTTTGGGTGGTTTTGTCATCGTGTGGCCATAAGAGGGGACTTACACAAACTGAGCTGGCCATGATGTCACTGGGGGAGACAATCTTATGGGACTGCCTTTGCACATGCAGTCCGTCATGGGCCAGAATGTCATTCTGTATGGATTGACTGTATTGTTAAAGTTAACTGGTCTTTCATTCAATAAAATTAGTATAAAAACAAATAGAGAACTAATGGTCAAAATTTAGATGTGGTTATAATATAAAGAGATCAGTTGTTTGTGTTTGTAGATTTACCCAAAGTGATGTGTACCAGCAATATGGTGTTTGGAAGGGACGGGGGAGGAACGTAAACTCTTGGAGAATAAAAAATCAACAAATAGAAGAGGAATCTCACTTTCCCCTTTGGGTCTTGAAATAGCAGAGCTTAGCCTTTTGTGCCAAGCAGCCTCTCACCTGGAGATGATGCGGAGCTGACTGCTCATGGTTTGAATTTGCTCTGCTGCACAGCGAAGCTCCTGGGAACATCTCTGATCTATGCAGTTCTTAGCAATGATAAGAATAAGTCTGGTGAAGTTTTGTCCAGAAGTTGCAATTTTCTTAGCAGAGGTGATGAGCTGATCTTTGGTCTGCATCAAAGAAAAGTGTTAAAACTGGGTAAATATTGCCCTCACTATTTGTCCCCAAGATGTTGGTGGCAAACTGCAAAGCCTGTCCAAAACTTGCTGGGCACAAGTTCCTTCGGTTCCCCAAGTGAGCATGCTTCAGCGTAAGCCACCATCTCCTGAGCCTCCCTGGATTAGTCAGAAGCTGACCCTTAGCACCCAGCAGAATGTGGTGGCCAGGGCCCATCTGTCTGCATCGGGCTGCTGAAGGGAGGACAGCCTCCTGGCCATGATCTCACCCACTGTCCCCAAGAGCTGTGCCCTGCTTTCAGCTTTCAGCAGGTGGCAGGGCAGGTGTGAGGCCTCAAGAAGGGACAGGTATGGGGACATCCAGGCTGGAGCAAAAGTGCAGAGTCATGTAGAGCTCTGCTCTAGAGCACTGCTGGGGACTGGTAATTAATAGGCTGAAAATTTGACCTTTTTGAAGTAAGTTTGAGAAAGAACCTCATTTTCCTTTCATAGAGATTTGGACTAAATTAACAGCTTTGGTGGTTTTTTTTTGGGGGGGGGGATTCTAACAAGTTTTGAACTCAGGGGCAGTCGTCCACTGAGCCCATCCCCGGGAGCCCTAGTTTGTATTTTATTTAAAGACAGGGTCTCACAGAGTTGCTTAGCGCCTTGCTCTTGCTAAGACTGGCTTTGAACTCCAGATACTCCTAGGGTTAGGGGACTCACTCCCTGGCCCTCTTTCCCCTGTGCATGCTACCCCAGCTTCTCTGGTCAGAAAGAATGCAGAGTTAGTGGTTTCAGCGTGAGAGGCTTAGCTCACGAGAGGGGTTTGCAAATCCAATGCTAAGGGAACAGGTGCAGGTACGTCCAGCCCAGTGTTTAATTCAGAGCCATTCCCAGCTCCTTGCCAGCCTGTGGAGAGCTCTTGGGAGACAGGAAAAGCCTTGTTGAAACACAGGACAGCAGCAGCTGTTCCCAAATGAGCTGAACCTGCACTGGTCACCTGTACCGTGTAGTTCCTTCTGGTTTTTAAAGATCAATGAGGCCACCCCAAACTGAGACCCACCCAAAACACCCACTTCTTTAGGCCCTTCTAGGAGGATACCCAGGTCTTCACACTCTGGCAATTTGTTTACGACATGCCGCCCCATTGGCAAGTAAGTCACAAAATGCATCTTTTGCTTTTGTTGGATAAGGTTTGGGTCTAGGCCGCTGTTTGGCCCATCAGCCTTCTCCCTGTCCAGAATGCGGATGGACTGCCAGGTTTCAAGGCCATTGGTCTTTGAGATAAGGAGGAAAGGGAATCCTGGAAGGATAAGGGAGGACGGGTGAGAACGCCTCCCCTCAACCCAATTTCCTGAGGGTGTTTTTATTTTGCACATGTTACAGCTTGAAGCCCTAACCTGGACGTGACTGTAGGAATGGCTTGAGTTCTCTGCTGGCACACAGAAGGCCTTTGGCCAAGGAAGATTTAAGATCTGAAGTTAGGGAAATTCCTTGCAAGAGCACCTCCTTGTGTGCAGGGGAAGGGTTCAAACGCAGAGATCAAGCTGGATATCCCGCCACCCCTTGCTTCCTGCAACTCCAGCCCCCCACTGCGGGGATGCGGAGCTGCTGGTAAGGCTGCCTCTGATCACATCATGACATCTGACTGCACTGCTTCAGGAAGTCCTGGTCCACCATGCGCCTAGCCAGTGCCTCCCAACCAGCCCTTTAAACTCTTGTTTCTGGCCCTAGAGCACAGATACTGTGGCTGCTAAAGTCCAGGATCAGGACTGGGGTCTGGGGAGCTGGGGGAGGTCCCTGCACAGGGATTCTCTTTCACCAGGCGCTAGCTTTCCTGTTAAAAGGGGGTCCTTTGGTTCTCCTTTTGTCATCTCCTCCATATTTACCACAGGGAACTCAGTGGGTGGAGGACCATATTTTGGGGTCCTTAGCCACTCTGCCAGCACCCAAGTTTTAGATAAATCAGAATATCTGAGATGCTTAGAAAGAAAAGTCAGCAAGAGGACGTAGCTGTGCTCTGATGACCCTGGGGTCACTGTTCCAGTGAGGGGCTGACCAGTAGTAATGGGCAGGGATCGGGAACAGGGACAGGACAATGAAGGTCTGAGGCTTGGGTGTGGAGGGGGCTGCTGGGTTTGAGGTCACCTAGCCAGGTACACCCACCCTTCTCTTTTGAACCCTTCACCCTAGACTGAGAGCGGGGCCCACATGGCTCAGCCGTGGATTTGGGAGCTGCTGATTGCCGTAGATCCACACCGGAGGCTTTCTACGAGCCTCTCGTTGCCATCTTATGTCTTCCTTTCACACACTCAGCAAATGGACTTCTTATTTTTTTCCTTGCAGGTGTGTTGATATCAAAGAATGCTTACTTCAATTTAACCAAGCAGAGGGATAAAGAGAATTAGAATAGGCCTCATATAATTGAAGTTGGCCCCCCAAGGCTGGTGGGAGCAGGGTCTCCCTCCAGGATGAGTGGCCCTGAGTGGTCAGCCTTCAGGAAGTGGCTGCTTTGGGGATTTTTTTTTTGGGGGGTGGGAGTAGTACTCAGAATTGAACCCAGGGGTTTTAAACCACTGAGCCACATGCCCAGCCCTTTTTTATTTTTTATTTTGAGACTGGGTCTCCTTAAGTTGCTGAGGTCGACCTTAAACTTGTAATCCTCCTACTTCAGCCTCCCAAATCACTGGGATTACAACTGTGCACCACCACTCTGAGTTTGCCTTGGGGAGTTTTAAAGACATAAATAGCTCCCTTCAGCTTTGGGGAAATTATCTTCCCTGGTGCAATGTGACAAAGCCTCAGAGACCCAGCAGCGGAGGAGAGGAAGGAGGAGGTGTGGTGACATCAAGCTATTCCCAGGTAGATGATGAAGGGACTGCACAGAGATGTGAGTGCCAAGTGGTGCCACGTGTGCCCTTCCTGCCTGCTGGGAGCTGCCCAGGGCGGCCCTGGCTCTTGGAGGGCAGCAGTGCGGAGAGTAACTTCCCATAATGCCCAGGCCTCCCACCACCATGGCTGCTGATGCCCAGTACCAGGACGTGCCCGCTCCTCCTCAGGCTCTGAGCCATCAGGGACACCTGCTCCGTCATCTCCCGAGTGATCTGGGCGATTCTGCTCTCGTGGCCTGTGCTGCCGTCCTGGTCCTCCTGGGGAGGCTGGTCCAGCTCAGTGTGAGATCTGGCTGCACAGCTGGGGGAGTCAGGGGAGTCGTCCTGCTGCTGTAAGAAGACAGTGCATTAACAGAGTGGCCCTGCTGGCCCTCAGCCTTCAGACGGCAGCGGCCTGCCCACTGCGTTTCTATTATGTTTTAAAGAAAGAGGAAAGGGAGTCAGGAGGGTTTCCTGATTCCTCCAAATCCCAGCAGTCTTGGCCATCTACCCCAAATATTTAGGAGAATAATGAGGGGACAGGATGATTTCCTATTAACTTGTGCTCCGTTCATCTGGAATTGACATAAACCGAAACCTGGTACACTTAGTTCCGGATACCATTAAAATATTAAATGTTATTTTCTTCTGTGAAGTTTTAGACTTTGCATGGGAGAAGGATCATCTGCAGCTCTTGAAGAAATTCAAGAACCCTTCAATATTCCAACTCTGGGAAGACACTTTTGCAAAAGGACCTAAAGGTTTGGGTATCAAAAACTATGACCTCCCCCGCCCCCAACACACACACAAGAGCTTGGTGGTGGTTGTTTTCTAGTGAGAAAAAAGAGCTGCCCCTGATATCTACAAGCAGGCTCCATGCTCACAGTTAGGCCATGTTCTTTCCCTATTGAACTTTTAGCAGAGCCTTCCCTAAGCCTTTTCTTGACCCTGGAATTGACAAGTTATTCTGCATTTGGAAGTAAATCCAGTAACTGAGTTGAGAAATTCTTTGATTATGTCTTTTTCTTACTTCCTCAGAGATGGCTCCCTCCATCCAGGACTTCCCAGCCTCTGAAACTGTGAGCTGAATAGATTTCTTGTCTTTATAATATAATTACATAGCACGTGGTATTTTTGTTATAGCAGCAAGACGTGGATTAAGAAACTTGAACTAGTGTGAACCAAGAAGTCACCTGGCCTTACTCCTGTTGGTTGCTTTCAGTTTAATCATCCCCACCTTCTGACCATGTGCAGTGTCCTCTACTGCTTCATTGGTCTAGTTCTGGACAGTGTGGGTACCCTCTGAATGCTGGGAGCCTTTTCCAGAGAGCACCAACAGGCCAGCCGTAAGGGACTCAGAAGATGAAAAGAAGGACAAGGGAGAAAACTCTGCTGAGACCAAGACTCAACTGCAGGGACTGAAGGCCAGGGGAGGAAATGGTACCCTGATGAGCCCAGCTAAGGGTGAGGAGGCTGGGAAATACCCTTTTCCACTCATGTCCCAGATGGAACTGTGGGGACCATAAGCATCCAAACCCACACCTGTCTTCAGGCCCTTCCATAATGTGAGGAGCCCAGGACACTGTGTCCGAGTTCCCCTGGCTGCAGGAAAGATTCGGAGGGTGACTCACTAGGGCAGGGGATGCACAAGCCCCTCTCTAGGCCCCTGTCTTCCCTGGCAGGTTCTGAGGGAGGCTCACTGTGAGATGCTGGTCTGGGTTGAGTGGAGGGCATGCCTGCACCACAGGAGCCCCAGGGCGTGGGGACAGCATCATACGGCAATGTGTCAGGCAGCAATGCTGGCCTCTCTGACTGTCCTCACACCCTAGGGTGGCCCTGGAGGCAGAGTCCTTCCCTGTCCCAGTGTTCCCCTGTACGTGCAGGACAGCACTCCCCTGGAGTGGAAAGAGCAGAATATGGGGGCCTGCCCCTCACCTGGGGGACCCAGACCCCAACAGAGAAAGGACTTCCCTGCAGGGACAAGAGGGGCGAAGGGGCTGCTGGAGCTGCTGCTCTCCATCCTGGAGGCCTTCAGACCTGGGCAGCTGCATCCACCTGCCCTGAGCCTTGGGGGTGCTCCACGGAGAGGCTCTGATGGAGGAGAGTCCATCAAGGGGCCTGTCAGTGAACCCAGCGGCACCAGCTCTGTCCAAACCCTATGGAGAAACAGGGATGGGGGGAAGAGGCTGCCAGGCAGGGGAATCTGTGTGACTAGAGGAGGGCAGCGAGTGAGCCCAGAGCCCTGCTGGTATCGGAGCAGAGGACTCCGGCAGCAGGAGAAGGAACTGTGCTTACTGTCCTCTCTGTTCCCGTGGCAATAGGGTGGCTTCTGAGGGCAATCACATTTTAGTGAGGAAAATGAGGGAAAAGTAACGGGTGGAGAAGCACAGGGGGTGGTCAGTTGCACCTGGAGGAGGTCTCAGGAATGGTTGGGAGGCTCTGCCCAGCCAAGCATAACCTCACACGGGGGACAGACCAGGCTGTGCCATGGGCCGGCCTGAACAAGTCTGCTGAGGAACTTCCCGAGCCCTGCCAACCTAGTCTATGTCCCGCTGACGCTGGCCTTGGTCAATATGAATGGGTGTCCTACGTGTCCTGTCTCACCCTGGAAAGAAATGAGTGCATGTGGAAGGACAGACCCCACATCTTTCCAATAAATCCTTCTTTTTCCCCCTTGCTACAGCAATTCCACTGATTTCCCGCCACTTGCAAAGAAAAGAACCCTGATTGGAGCACGCAAGTGACATCTGTGGAGGTCAAAGTGGCATGAGAAAGCCTATCCCTCAAGAAGAGTGCTGCCAGTCATGGCAAGGAAACCACTTCCGGGTGGGGTGACCGGGGAAAACCTCATGGAAGACAGTACTAAGGTAGGCACTGCTTCTAGGACACTGCCACAGGCCAGGCAAATGCAAATATTTTGCCTGGATACCCTTCATCCTCCATCAGGCTAGAGTGCCAGAGTCCAAAATGGCGATGAAGCTTCCCAGCTGGGAAATGGTAGCAGAAGGTGCAGCCCAGACAGCTGACTGCCAAGCTTGGGCTCTTGGAGGCTGCGTGCTGCCTGCCCAGGGGGAATTACATCGTGGCACTGAGACCCTGGAACTTGGCAGGATCTCTGATGCCTAGAAGAGGGTTGAGGTGTGGGTGGAGAAAAGATGCTGAGGAGCCTACCATGCCCGTGCTTGCTGGGGGGGTCCCAGCGACAGCTGGCTCAGCAGTGCAGGTTCCCATTGAACTCCCAAGGGTGGCCCTGGGGGCAGAACCCTGAGCATCCACCTTGCCTCCTGCAGCACCCTCCTCACAGTGGAGCTGGGGCTGGATGGAGTCCTGTTCTGGGGCCCTTGCTGGCTCCTCCCTGAGTTTTAAGCACTGGTCCAGGAGATTCCAGGCCTTGGTATGACCACCTTTCCAGGCCTGGAGCTGGGCCACCGCATGGTGGGCCCTGGCTGCCCACTCCCACCGAAGCCACTCCAACACATGCATGTCCCACTCCTCTGGACCTTCTTGGAGCACAGAAACCCTCTGGTTCACCTCCTTGGTGAGGATGAGAATGCTCTCCAGAGCTATAAGAAGGTCTTCTGGGCAAGGCCCAGACTCTTGACGTCTCACTACAATTCCCTGTACAGCTTGGATACCAGATACCATTCTTTCTAGGGACCTTTCTGTCCTGGTCTGGGAGTTCTTGCAGACAGAGAACTGTGGACAAATAGCATCTTGAAAGGCACATTCATACTCTGCATTGATGCCACTGAGGTGGCCAGTCAGGGTCTTGGCTCGGAGGGTGAGCTCCAGGCAGAGAAGCTGAAAGCGTGTGGACAGGCTGGGAGATGGTTTGGGGGAGGAGCCTAGGATCTGTGCCACATCCAGCAGAGCGTCTCTGAGTACATGAACCTCCCTGCACAGAAAGGAGATCTCACCCTTTACCTGCTCATCCCCACACAGAAGGCCGGACAGACTGGCAGCCTCCTGCAGCCTTTGAGAAACATCTGCTACCTGATCCAACCCTTCCTTCAATCCCTGATGATCCTTTACAGCCTGTTGCAGGGGCAGTAGAAACAGGCTTTGTCTCCCGCTGAGCCTCTCCATGTTCTGGATCAGGTCTTGGACAGCCACTGACCACAGAAGGCATCCATTCTCAATGTTCTCTTCCCAAGATGCAGGAGCTTGGAGACCATCAGAGGCCAGAACCATGTCCAACAGCCGTTTGGCATAGATCTCTGCCTCCTCCAACCTGTCCCCGATTTGCAATAGCACTTCTGGATGTCCCAAGGAGTCAGGATCCTTCTTATCCAGATCCTTGCAGCAACTTTTAGCTGCTAGTTGAACCATTGAAGTTAAATTCTGCTGAAGCTCTGTGAATACTGAAATGCTCCCTGGTAGATCAGTTTGGGGGTTATGGCAAAAGAGTTGTTGACACAGAGGATACCAGTCACCAGCAGTGGCTACCAAAACCTGCCTGGTTTCCCTGGTCCCCCCAGACAGTCGGCGAGTGGCTTCTAGAAAGCTATGACTTCTAGAAGTTGTGCTATGGGCTGTCTCCCTGGCCAGGTCAATAACAGAAGGTGCCAGTGTCGGGATCTCTTGGAGTCTCGTCATCCTCTCTGATCCCGGTGGTCCCTCCCCACCCTCTTGAGCTGCATCTGTGTCTGTACCCTGCTCCAGCACTTGGGTGCAAGTTGAGGCCACTGCCTGGAGGTCCTGGCTCTCTTCAGCAAGAGTGAGTTTGCTGGTGGTGAGGGGAGCAGCAGACCTCCTCTGTGTACAGGTGTTAGGACTCCAGAGGTGAGAAGTACAGTCTGTTGGTGGACAGGGCATGGCCAGGTCACGTTCCCCTAACACAGGGACCTTTTGGTGTTTCCACCCAGGAAGTGAGTTGTCCTGGAGGCTTGGGAGAAGGGTATGAGGCTGTCCCTTAGCTATGTCAAATCTTTGGACTTGGTCTCGAAGAGGGCTGAGGATATGTGGATGGTTGGTCCCGTCCAATCCCTCTTGGACTTGCTGAACGGAATAGATGAGATGTGTTGCCATGGCTAAAAGCACCTCTCTATCCTGAGAGCTGCACCCACCTGACCTGTGCTGGGTAGCTGCACCCAGGACCAAGGAAGACTGCTGCAGCTGCCAGATCAAAACTCTCAGGCCATTCCTGAAAATGGGATCGGAATCGCGGCCCACATACCTATTCACTACCTGCACTATGTGTGCGGCTCGGCCCTGCAAATACATCACAGGCCTGGAAAACCCTCCGGGATCTCCACTCCTCAAAGCCCATGCAAGGAAGTCCAAGTGCTTGATCATTTCCTGAGTGGACACGCTCAGGAATTCAGGGATGTTGAGAACATCATCAAAACAGGCCACGAGGCGTTCGTTCGCCCGAGCCCAGGCCTGAAGCAGGGCCCTTAGGGCCGCGGGGCTCCAGTCCGCACCAGACGCTGCGGGGCCTCCTGAGAACAGCTGGTGCACTCTGGCCACCAGCCCGCCAAGGTCTGCCACGGCGGCCTCCAGGTCTCTACCAGTTTGTCGCCGGGAGCAGCAAACCAAGACCAAGTGGGCCACCCGGAGCATCTGCTCTGCCCGCTCGTGGAAAGCTGCACGGAAACGCTGGAGGCCTTTCCGCAAGTCCCCGCCCGCGCCCAGCGATCCGACTGCAGAAGTCGACAAGGCGACGCGGACCAGCCTTTCAAGAGGGCTCTGGGTGTCTGTGAACGTGTCCAGGATCTGGCGCAGGAGCGCAGCGCGCACTCCCTGGGAGAGGGCGTCGGTGGCGGCCAGCAGCGCCGCGCGCTCCTCGGCGGTCTCCAGCCTCTCCTGGCCGGTCCGCGGGGGTCCGTCGCTCCCGTCCAGGCGCCGGATGGCGCCCCGCACCTCCAGCAGCCGGCCGCAGCGGGCCACCAGGTGCAGCCTCTCTGGCGGCGCGGAGCAGGCGGCCAGGTGCATGCAGTGCGCGACCACGGCGGCCAGCGGCGCGTCCAGCTGGCCGTCGCGCAGGTGCTCGGACGTCGCCAGCAGCTCACGCAGCTGTTGCAGGCGCCAGGAGAGCGCGCCGACACGGGTCCCAGCCTCAGGGATCGCGACGCCGGACTCCAGCCGCTCCAGCAGCTCTTCCAGGGTCTTCCTGGTGGTAGCGAAGACGCGGCTTCGGGTCGCGGCCAGCTGTGAGTCGCGCGGATGCTGGAGGTGGCCGCGGGCAGTCGCGAGCAGCGCGGGGATGCTTTCCCGCAACAGGCGACCCGTGGGACCCAAGCTCTCCTCCCGTCCGCGCGCCACCAGCCCGCCCAGGTGCTGCAGCGCCGCCACCAGCTCCCCCAAGTGGTCACGCAGCGAGGGCGCGTCCTCCGCCGCCTCCAGCGCGTCCAGGCAGGCCAGGCACCTGCCGGCCGTCCCCACCATCTGCCTGGCGATTGCTGCATCTGCGAGGAGCAGGACCTGTTCGGGCAATCGGGACAGGAGGAGCTTGAAGATGATTGCACATTATTTGGAGTGATGGGGACAGCGGTGGCAGCTGCTTCTGTCCCCTAGACTCAGCCCCAAAAGTCACCCAAGAGTGGCGTTTATATTTGGTTACATTTGGTTGAACCCAGAAGGTAAGGCAGCTACATTCCATGAATGGATGGGTCCATCTGGAGTGTTTATTGTTTGGATGAGGGTGATGGGGGCTGAAGAGAAGGCCGGCCGTCAAGTGCCTCTGAGATATCTCCTCTAGCCTGTCCCTGCCACTCCAGGACAGCGTATCCACCCCTCCAAAAGAACTGGTACCCAAACCAAGAGCCCACCTTGCACCCCTCTCCTCCCGGGTCAGCAGGTACCTATGGTTGCAGTCCTCCTTTAATAGAACCTGTTAAAATTCAAACACCTGCCCCCTAATAACTCTACTACTAAAGTTTTACTGATTATATTTCATAATATTTAAGGCATATGGATTTTAATAAGCAGCAATGCCCAGACTAAAAGTCACGTCATAATGGTGGAATGTCAGGATGGGAAATGGGGAGCATTTGAAGGCTAAGGGATGAGCCAGGCTTCCGTCCAGACCCTTCCAGCTGTAGACCAGGGCCACAGAGCTTTCATCTGGGAGGCTGGTTTGCCAATCAGACTGAGGGTTGCAGAGGTTTCCGTAGCCTCTTCCCATAGCTCTTGGCAGCAAGAGGATGGAAAATGACCCTTTGGGTGACATCTTTTTATTAGAGATTGGTGGTTAGGGGGTGAGGAGACCACATGGGGTTCAAGGCATAGACCCTACATATGTCTACCCAGCTCCCCATGGAAGCTTCCACATTCAGCATTGACTAAATTGGTAGTGAACTCTCTGCCTATGATCTTTACAGAAATGAGCAGGTTTCACTCTTGGGGACAGGGGTCCACTGTGGGAGTAACGTGCCCACCCATGCTGCTTGTGACCAGCCAGCACTGACAACAGCCTCACCTTTGTGGTGTCCACCAGCATCTGCTGAGCTGTGGTCACGAGCTGCTCTTGGTGGTACCGACATTCTGGCTGCAGATGGAGTTTCTGAGCCACCAGTGTGATGTTCCTTCCAGACAGGATCAGAGACTCGGCCACGGGCTCCATTTCCTCCTGGAGCCACGTCTGGGAATCTCCTGCCACCCTGGACAGACACACTACATTTACAACAGGCAACAGAGTAAAAAGCACATCCCTGGGGGGCTGGGGCTGGGACTCAGTGGCAAAGCTTGCCTTACATGTGTGAGGCTCTGGGTTCAATTCTCAGCACCACATATAAATAGATGAATAAAATAAAGGTCCATCAATGACTAAAGAAATATTAAAAAAAAAAACATATCCCTAAGGAAATTATGATACACAGATTAGAAAATGCTAAGCAGCCATGTAGGGCTTTATTTGTGATGATTGAAGGCTCTCTAGGACATAGTGTTGAGTTAAAAATAAGTTCCTATCACCAGTAGTGGTGGCACACCTGTAATCCCAACAGCTCAGGAGACTGAGGCAGGAGGATCATAAGTTCAAAGCCAGCCTCAGCAACTTAGCCAGGCCCTAAGCAACTTAAGGAGATCCTGTCTCAAAACAAACAAGGAGCTGGGGGGATGTGGGTCAGTGGTTAAGTGTCCCCAGGTTCTATTCCTGATATGTATGTATAAATAAATAAATAAATAAATCCAGCCTTAGGGATAGAACATTGAAGATACAAATTTGCCACAAACGATATATGCAAAACACTTTGCCCAGTAATCTTGAGTAGAATATGTGTCTACTCAAGGGCACATGGACCATTTACAATCACAGGTCAAATAATGGGCCACAAAACATGGCTAAAATATGTATTTAGTGGACCACAGTACAATTAAATAGAAACAAGGCCAAAACAGTAAGAAGAAAATCTCTGGCTGTGTGTCCAGGAGAAACTAAAGTTGGAACTGGAGGGGAGAATATATGGGAGACCGTCTTTCCTAGCAGTGTTCACATAGAGCCTGGAACGTTGGCACCCCTCCAGGGACGTGCAGTGCAGTGGCCCTTCCCTGTTCACCATCAGTGTGACCTGTTTTATGTACACAGAAACGTGCATATTCATATGTGTGTGTATACCTACAATGATTTTTTTTTTCTTGGTACCAGGATTGAACTCAGGGGCACTTGACCACTGAACCACATCCCCAGCCCTATTTTAGGTTTTATTTAGAGACAGGGTCTCACTAAGTTGCTTAGCACTTCACATTTGCTGAGGCTGGCTTTGAACTCACAATCCTCCTGCCTCAGCCTCCTGAGCTGCTGGGATTACAGGCATGTACCACCCTACCAGGATCCTACAACAATTTTATATGAATTTTTAAAAAGGACAAATGGGAGGAGATGAGGAAGGGACATAAAGATGAGAAGAGGACATAAAAAGAGGAAAGAAAAGAAAAATATCTGGAATAAATATAGACCCAAACGTTCACAGGGGTGGTTCTAGGTCATCAGCTTATAGATAAAGTTTTCTTCCTTCAGCTCTTTCATATTTCCTAAATGTTCATTGTATGATATGTTTGCAAATGAAAGAAAATGCATAGGGCCCTGCCCGAAGTCTCACTGTGCTGGTAAATACTAGTCCAGGGTGATTGATGGGATCGGTTCCTTCTGGCCTCCAGGAAGCTTCCCATGCAGCAGGAAGCTGGAGCTGGCCAGCAGCCCTGGGCAGTTCATGCTGGGCCTTCGTTTGGCCTTCCCTGAGCACTTCTTGAGGAGCTGCTCCCAGAGCCAGCCTGCCAAACCCCAGTCCAGATAGGAGTTATTGCAATGTTAATTATCGCAATACTGCAGTATTGCCCAGGGGCTGGACCATTTCCCATGGTCATGAACCTAGATAATTATCTGTATAAATGATTCATGTTGCTGCAGACAGCACAGTGAAAGCACTTATGCTGAAACAGACAAAGATGTTTAACTTCTCTCAAAATTTAGTGTGCCTTTCTTTTGTGATTACAAAAACGTGTGTTGCAAAACTTAGAATGCACAAAGTATTTGAAGAATATAGAATCACTCTGTTCTTAAGCTCTTAAATAAATTACAATAGATATTTTGGGCAAATTTCTTTTTATCTAATTGGGGTCTCAACATGGATAGCCCCCAATCTGCCTCCATATCTTTATTTTATCATGGAAAAATAGGCATAACATAAAATTTATCTTTTTTTTTCTTTTCAGTGCTGGGGTTTGAACCTAGGGCTTTGTGCATGATTGGCAAGTGTTCTACCACTGAACCACATCCCCTGCCTGAAATTTATCATCCTTAAATGTACAGCTTTGGCACTGAGTGTCCACACTTCCATGCTCCACCCCTGTGTCCATCTCCAGACCTTGATTCATCTTCCCAAACAGAAACTGAACCACTAAGCAATGAGTCCTGCCCTCCCCTCCCCCAGCCCCTGCAGTCACCATCCCCCTTGCTCTCTACGGATATGACTGCTCCAGGGTCCTCATGTAAGTGGAATCATTTCATATCAGTCCTTTGTGTCTGGCTCATTTCACTTGGCATGATGTCCCTGAAGTCTGTCCCTGGTGTGGCATGTTGGATTTCTGTCCTTTCTGAGGCTGAGCACATGCGTGTACACCAGTTTGATTATTATTCATCCATCTGCAGACATTTGTGTTGCTCCTGCCTTTTGGTATCGTGAATGGTGCTGCTGTTGATATCAGTGTAAAAGCATTTGTTCAAGTCCTGCTCTCTTCTCTTTGGGGTAAATAATCAGAGGTGGAATTGCTGAATTATATGGCAGTCCTGTTTTTATATCTTTGACAGTTCCTATATACTTTTGAATCCTCTTGTGAATTTCACTTAACTTAGCAATATTTTTATTACTTTTTATATTTACAAAATTTACAGCTTGCAAAAGTTGCAAAAATGTTCAGTGTACTTGACACACCCTTTAGCCAGTTCGAAATTGTCATTTTGCCGAGTTTGCTTTATCATTCTCTTTCTCCCTTTCTATCTCTCTGTGTATAGACACTTCCAAGCCCCATGCCCCTTTTATGGCGAAATAGTTTAGCATGGGTTCCTTACAAACAAGAACATTAGCGTTTATAATCACGGAATAATTATCAAAGCCAGAAAATTAAACATTGATTCAACACTATTATCTAATCCAAATCCAATATTCAAATCTTGCAACTTGTCCCCAATCTGAGGACATGTATTATATTCAACTGTCAAGATTCTAATGAGACGCCCCACGCCCCCATCACCAATATTCTTGGGTCTCCGTTAGTCAAATGATAACCTAGATTCTGCTGTGCAGGGACTTTGCAGATGAATCAAGGCAACTAATCAGCTGACCTTAGAACAAGGAAAACATTGTGGACTGCCCACGTGGGCCAGTGTAAGTACCTGTGCCCTTAAAGGCAGAAGAGGAGGGAGGAAGGTGGGTGAGAGAGAGGAACTGGGAGAAGGACTTGAAGTGTTGCTGCTGGAGGGGCCACGAGGAATGCAATTGTCCTTGAAAAGCAAGTCAGCCTCTGGCTGACAGCCAGCAAGGAACCAGGACTCCCGTCCTCCGGCTTCAGGAGCTGTGTTCATCCAGCCATCTGCCTGAACCTGGAAGCAGGTCCTTGCAGAGCCTCCGAAGAAATCCTGGAAGGACATCTCCATTCAGCGCATAAGACCACCACAAAGGAGCCACCTGGCCCACTACCTGCTGACCCACAAGTTGTGAGGTGGTACGTTCGTGCTGTTTGGGCCAATGATTTGTGATGGCTTGTTCCAGCAGCAATAGGGAGCAAACTTAAGCCCTTAAGCCCCGCATCTAGAACAGTTCCCAGGGCGCTCTCTTTCTCGACCTTTGGTGTTTTGTGATGAGTCCAAATCAGCAATCTATAGAAAGCCCTTCGATTTGGGTTTGCTAATCGACTTGGCTTACAGTTTGGGAAGTCATTCTCTAGGAGGGACGTGGCATCTGTCTCAGCACATCACACTAGTAGGCATGAGAGGCCACTTTCGTTCCAATAATAGTAATGTCAACTTCCATCCTTTGGGTTAGATGGTACCTGTCCGGCTCTGCTCTGTGAACGTCTTTTTCCCTTTGTAAAACATTTTAGGAAGACATCTTGAGACAATATAAACATCCTGCTCTTCTTTGAACTTTTGCCCACCATTTTAGCATCCGTTAATGGTTTCTGCCTGGAACAGTTACTATGATAGCTGCCAGATGGTGATTAATTCCACAATTCTTTCTACGTTCATAAGCTGTCATTGTACTGTAAGGAAGAACGTTCCCTTCTTATTTATTATCAGTATGAACTAATTGACTCTTATTTTATTCAATGGCTTAAAAACCATTATTTTTATTTTGATGCATAGATTATCCTATATTAAGCTATATTTGTATCAAATTGACCTCTTCACAGTGGCCCTATATGTCTTTTTAATTTGTCCCGTCTGTTTTTATCACTTACTTTCTTGCAGTTAAGATATTCTTAGTTGGGCTGGGGATGTGGCTCAGGCGGTAGCGCGCTCGCCTGGCATGCGTACGGCCCGGGTTCGCTCCTCAGCACCACATACAAACAAAGATGTTGTGTCCACCGAAAACTAAAAAATAAATATTAAAATTCTCTCTCTCTCTCCCTCTCTTCTCTCACTCTCTCTTTAAAAAAAAAAAAAAGATATTCTTAGTTCAGTTTTATTTATCCTACTCTAGTCCTGGTAACAACCATTTCCTCACAGATTCAGGGCTCTTTTTAGTAACAACTGGTATTTAATACCAAGAACTGGTAACAGATGTGCTCATTGCTACTGAGTTATCATTGCTTCTAGGTCTTTTCAGTGTGCAGAGCAAAGGAATGCACACACATCCATACATACGTAGACACAAGTATATAAAGATACAAGTTCATGCTAATACCTCCAATTTTATCTTATTTTTAAATTTAATTTAATTTAACTTTTTGTGTATGTGGTGCTGGGAATTGAACCCAGGGCCTTCTGCATATGAGGCAAGCACTCTACCAACTGAGCCATATCCCCAGCTTAATACCTCCAATTTTAATCCAACATAACAGGATTTGTCCTGAACTTCCTGTTCTATTTTTGTATGTCTTCTCTCCACTAGTGAGAATCTTGGTTCCCAATATCCTCAATATATTTACTCATCTGTTCTATGAGCACAGAACACAGAAAATGGTTTCATACTTGTTAATTCATATTGTTTTGAAAAACAAATCCACAAAGTGAAGTACAGTATATATTCACTGTTCATTTGTCTTTAGATTAAAGATTTATATTAAAGTACCTTATTCAAAAGTTACTTGCTTTAGTTATTTTAATTTTACCTCAATGTGATTACATTATTGCTTCAAATCTAGGTGGATGCATTTATTCTTATTCTTGTTCTACATCTTATGGTTTCCCCTCCATCCTTGAAGATTTAAATGTTTTGCATATACAAAAAAATTCATGTTGTTCCTAAAGTCAAAATACACACACACACACACAATTACAAATTATACCAAAAAAAAAAAAGATATAATCAGAGGAGTATCTCTGTGCTCCTCCCACTCCTTCTGTCCCAACCTGCCAACTTCTGTAGGTAACGGAACTCATCCAAATTCATTAGTGTTTATTTTTATCTTTCCTGTTCTTTTTTTAAGCAACAATAAGATAATCATGTGTATTTTCTTATTCCTCCCTTATATAAAAGGTAGCATATTGCCATATGGAAAATGGTTGGCTCTGGAGAACAAACACAGAGGTGGCCATCAGGGTGCAGGGTTACTAGGCAGTGCTCCTAGGATCACCCCTGGGAAGGGAGAGAGCAGAGGTGGGCTAGAAGGGGAAACTGAGCCCATTGAGCTGCATGAAACTGAAGACCCTCAGCACTGTCCCACGTTGGGTGGACAGCTGAGGGGTTTTTGCATACCTGCATAAGTCAGCCTTCAGCTAGGGGCCACCCTAGACAAGGCAGTTCTCTCCAGCCAGGGTGGCCTGCCTAAGGGCTGACACCTAAGGGCTTTCTGCTGCCATCACACGTCTTGTTCCCGAAGTGAACCAGGGGGTGCAACCACCACCCAGACTCCTCGTTCTCTTTGCTGTTTTTTTCTTCACATAACATATCATGGAAGTCACTCCTGATCCATTTATAAGGCTCTTCCTTGCTCCCTTTTTAGCAGCTGTACAATGTCATGTGTGTCTAACTCTAGTTTATTCAATGCATCTTCTACAATTGGGTGTCCGGGTTGCTTCAGGTGTTTCATAATGATGAATCATGCTGAAACTACCATATATCCATGTAAAAAATGCTATCACCTCATTCTGCATACCTTTTACCCATCTTCCCATCATATTATGTAATCATAGTGCATTTGTCAAAGATTAGGAATTAACTTTGCTGTACTGTTAAAGTCTGATGCATGCTGCCATTATGAATTCTTTCAGGCTCTGTGTTAGCCTTAAGGGTTTGGCAGCTGCTTTCCCACACAAACAGTGTTGTAGCCATCTCCTCTAATGAGTGCATATTCATCTATACTATGGTAAGCATTTATAATCTATTTTGCTTCAACACAGGATTATGCCGTAGTTTAGCTTTTTTCCATAAGTTTAAATAATGTCAAAACAAACATCTTTACACATACATCTTGGCTCCTATTTCTCAGTATCTCCTTAGAATAAATCATTAGGATAGGAGTTAATGAGTCAATAGATACATATTTTCTAAAGTCTTGAGTCTATATGATAAAATTAGCATCCAAAACTTCGATTTGCCTTTCTTCAGTGAAATGCCTGTTCTCTCCCCACATTCTTTGTGGGTGTTGGGCTCCTCTGTGTTGATGCAGTTTTGTGGTTTCTCTCGGTTAGCTCCATTCCCCCCAGGAAGGTCTCTTATTCGAGGTTGTGCTTCAGCACCAAGGACAGCACCTGCAGTAGGTACTTCACTTGGTACCTTAGGAGGTGGTTAGGCCACTTTGTGTTGGAAAAAAAGACCTCTTTGTATTTTGAAGCTAGATAGGGGGCAGTTGTATTTGGCTACCATGTGCCAGGCACCGTGCTCAGCAACTTGTAGGGATTTTTCCCATGACCCTGATGAAGGTCCTATGGGTTGGATATTATTTCCAGCTTCACAGAGGAGACATCTAGAGGTTTAGGAACTCAACCAAAGCCAGACAGCTAGTAAGCAGTGGGGCTGGGATTCAGATAGAGACAGTCAATTTCTAGTACCTACATTAAGTTTTGGGCATAAAAGTGTAAATTTTTTTTAACTGGAGATTGAACCCAGAGGCGCTTCACCAATGAGCCACATCCCCAGCCCCACTTTCTAACCTTTATTTAATTAATTTAGTTTTTAATGTGGTGCTGAGGTTTGAACCCAGTGCCTCACATGTGCTAGGCAAGTGCTCTACCACAGAGCTACAACCCCAGCCCCTCCTCGACCCTTTTTAAATTTTTGTTTTGAGACAGGGTCTTACTAAAATCCTTAGGTCCTCACTAAGTTGCCCAGTCTGCCCTTGAATTTGCCATCCTCCTGCCTCAGCCTCCTGAGTTGCTGGATTACCAGTGTGCAGCCTGTACCTAGCTAAAATGTAAACATTTGTTGTAGTATTCAACTTTCATCTAAAGGGTTCAGTTTTGTTCTTTTAAGTAGACACTTTACATTGATCCTGGAACCTCATATGACAGTAATTTGCATGCAGGTTTACAGGTCTAATATACTGAATGACCAACATGGAAACTGTGTTTAGACAACAATAAAATTCTCATCCTATAATAAAACAGTTAATTTGTGAAACACTAAGAATGAATCTGGAAATCTTTTGATGGGGCACAGAACCACACTGTAGTGCAAAACCCCACCACTTTTGAAATGTTGCCATACTTATACCCCAGTGTTAAGTAATAACACAGTAAGCAGTTGGCTTTATGCTTTATCCATTTGTTTTCTCACACCTGGCTTCTTTCGAAAAGCACTTGCACAGACCATAACAAGGCTCGAGTTACATGCTCCTCCTGCCACCTGTCAGAGCAAGCACCTGGAGTTCTTTAAAAGTATTACCTTTTGGCAACTTGCACAAACTCTTCGCTGGCTTCAGCCAGGCCCTCTGCCGTCCTCTCCAAGGAAGCGAACACTTCTTTCTTCACATCGTCCCTCTCCATGGAGATGAGCAGATGGCAAAGTTTCACAGTCATCGACGAGATGATTCTCTCTATGGCCTTGTTCTGTATCATTGAGCCAAAGTCATCAAAGAAGAAAGGCTCCATCTCTTCTAGTCTGTGAGCAGAAGTCATGAGACAGGGCAGCTCAGGCTGTTTGATGTGTAAAGTTCTTCTGCTGGACGTGACATTCACCTCATATTGCTTCTATAAATGGAAAAATCTATAAAATATTACAGGGATAAGTAGGGATTATACTCAGGGCTTTACAAGTACAGGATAGCTCGTGGCTTAGCAGAAACATAAGAAAAAGTGGGCTTAAGACACAGTGACGGGGTAGGGGTGTAGCTCAGTGGCAGAGCACTTACCCAGCAGGCTTTCGGCCCTGGGGCAATGCCCCTCACTGGGAAAAAAAAAAAACAAAGAACAAAAAGTCTTACCCAGATGATAGTATTTGGGGCTGGACATATAACTCAGTGGTAAAGCATTACCTGGTACATATGAGGCCCTGGTTTGATCCTCAGCATTGCATTTAAAAAAAGACAATTAGATAGACACAAAGGAAGGCAAACACAATGGAGAGAGGACCACAAACTGTGAAATATAGACAATTTAAAAATGGTTAATTTTACCAGAGAGAAGGAGGAGAGGAAGTAAAGAGGAAATACCGGGAAATGATATTAGCCAAATTATATAGTTATATTGTGTGCATGTATGAATATGTAACAACAAATCCCACCATTCTGCACAACTATAATGCTCCAATAAAAAATATGGGGAAAAAAGAAATGGTTAATCTTGTGCTGGGAGTGGTGATGCACAACAGTAATCCCAGTGACCCAGGAAGCTGAGGCAGGAGGATTGCAAGTTCAAGGCCAGAAAAAGAAAGAATAAGAAGGGCTGGGATGTGGCTCAGTAGTAGAGCACCCCTGGGCTTAATCTTCAGTTAAAAAAGTAGAAAAGAGATGATTGATCTTGTGAGGACATGATTGAGGTCTTCAGACTTTGTGGCACTAAATACAGTAGAGGAAACACATTTTGCACAATGTTTACTCTATGGAAGGTTTTAGAATAAGGGCTGAGAACTGTGCAACAACAGAAAGTCCTCCTTCAAATCGCATCTCAAAGCAAAATTCTCCAAGTCCTCATGGTGTTGTTACTCGAGGATACAGTGAACTTCCTTCCTCTGGTAGTGTGCAAATCTGGATAACAACTTGAGACTGTTATATAAAAATTTCAAGCAATGTGCAGGTAGACGGAGACAATTTCAGTGTTGAAATTCTGTGATTTGTTCAATCTTATTCTCTCATTGAAAATATCTCCCAAGTGGAGATTAACAGAGGAAAGCTTAGACTGACCATTTCTGTTTGTTTCTGGTACCAGGCATTGAACCCAGTGGTGCTCAATCACTGAACCACATCCCCAGCCCCTCCCTCTCCCCCCCCCTCTAAGATAGGTTCTCGCTACATTACTAAGATCCTTGTAAAGTGGAGGCTGGACTTGAATTTATGATCCTCCCGTCTCAGCCTCCTAAGCCTCTGGGATTGCAGGAATGCACTACCATACCTGGTTCAGATGGTCTCTTCAAGTTGGAACAGAATATTCCACAGTGGCTAGGTGCAGTGACACAAGCCTGTAATCCCAGCAGTCTGGGAGGCTGAGGCAGGAGCTTTGAAAGTTTGAGGCCAGCCTCAGCAATTTAGCAAGGCCCTTTCTCAAAATTAAAAATAAAAAAAGGCTGGGCATGTGGCTCAGTGGTTACACACTCCTCAGTGCCATCCCTGGTACAAAACAAAACAAGCAAACAAACAACAAAATACCCAAACCAACCAAACAAAAAAAGAATAGACTGCAACAAGCCCAAATCCCTGCTTTAAGAGACAGGCCTTCTTGCTGGGTCGCTTGTACTTGTCAGAAGAGCAGAGAGAGGGAGAATGAGGGCAGGTGAACTCACTCCCATGATAATGAGCCTGGGATTAGGGCCTTAGTCCAGCTTCGAGGGCAGAGTCCTCGTGACCTGCACACCTTTTCAAGGTCCCACTCCCAGGACCAACACAATGGCATTTAAATTTCAACATGCATTTGGAGGCGACAAACAAGCAGGCCCTAACACCCCTTAAACCAGCAGCCCTTATATATGTGGCATTCCTAAAATTTAGAATTCGAGCGTAAGAAACCAGATGGTGAAATAGGATGTCTTTCTTCCCCGTCTCCCATCAGGGAATTCGCGCTTTTATTCCTCACCAGCTTGAAACTCTGGAACCAGAAGCCCTGAGGTGACCAAGCTGCTTTCCCCAGGGAGTGCTCCCTGGCCCACGGTGGATCCTGGCCAGTGACCAGGGATAAAGAAAGTGAAAGTCCAGTCGCGAGCTGGAGAGGGAACTCTGATGGTGCGCCTCCCGGCCTGTCTTGCCATCACAGCAGGGTGGACTTGACCTGGAACCAGGCCCCGCTGGCGCCTCCCCGCCTCCCACAGGCTTTTCCCAACAGGTAACAGGTCTGCACTACATCATGGGCCACCTCAGCTTGCTTCCAGGGAAGCTGAGCTAAGACCCTTCTCCCTGACCTCGGCCACCCAGGAGTCAGGCTGGCCCCTAGCACCTGCTGAGAGCTACGCCATGCCTGGAGGTGCTGATGGCTGTTTGTGCCCATGTGGGTGCCTGCTTCTGAATACAGCTAGCACTGCGGAAGGGGTTGCCAAGGACAGGGGGTGAGACAGCGTCCTAGGGACACTGCTTAACCGCAAGAGTCACACAAAAGTTTATCCTCCACACACATTTTTTTGTTTTGCTGAAGCCATTTTGGTTGTGTCCGTGGGGCTGGACTGGCACACTTGTGCACTCCATTCCTCTGGGGACCTTCCTTCAGCCCAGCTACAGGGGACATATGGTGCTTGCAGAGATGGAGACAGGTGATGCAGAATCTAGACATTCCTTCCTAATTATCCAAAGGAGAGGCCGTTGTGTCCAGTGCTGTGTGTGTGTGTATTTTAGTAGATCTTGTGTTCTCTTGTAAAATAGATAAGCCACATAATATTTTTTTTATCATGAACTCTGTTAATGAAACACTTGGAACTCATCAAAATGTACCAAAACATAAACTTTTCCAGGCAAAAAAAAAAAAAAAAGATTGACACCTAAGGAATACGCCTAACAACACCATCTCAGCCAGAACATAAAGTGTAAAGTTCCTGTAATCCAACTGTGGTTGCCAACCACTGCAACTACCCGTGAGGGAAAAAACATGGGCGTTTTTCCTTACCTTGTTGGGAAGACACTCTTCACCCTCTAAGCAACAGAGACGGTTCCTGGATTCACCGTAGAGGTAAGGAATCTATGTGGTTTACCAGGCACAGAAATCCACCTGCACTTGCACACAGCTTGGGACGATGCTGTCGCCCAGCAACTGTCAAACGACTCCACTGCTGATGTCACAGACAGTGTCACAACAAGCAAGTACCATGATTTATGCATGCAGCTGCAGAAGGCTGGCTCCCTACTGCGGTGAGGGTCCTGGACAAGAGCCCAGAAAGGACACTGGCAGTCTGACAGCAGTCACCAAGATCTCCAGAAGGTTCCCATGCGCGGAACTGGACGGAGATGGGGACTGGGACTAGCTAAAGTCCAGCAGGCGAAATGCTGCGCCATTTCATTAATGTGACTTCCGACTCCTCGTTCCCGCACATGTGGATTTTTAAAGGAGTTTGTTTTGTGAGTGAATAGCAGGCTGCTGTCTCTTGGGAACTGTAAAAGGAACGGAGGCTTATAATGGAGAAAAAATACACATTAGAGTGTTTCAGGTGTGTGCTGTGTTTCAGGCGTTTTCCATGTATCATCTCATCCCCCAGAGCAGTTTCACTAGGTCAGTATCTTTAATTTTTTTCCTAAAAACCTAGGCCAGGCACAGTGACACACACCTCTAATCCCAGTGACTCAGGAGGCTGAGGCAGGAGGATCACAAGTTCAAAGCCAGCCTCAGCAACTAAGGTGAGGCCCTCAGCAACTTAGCAAGACCCTGTCTCTAAATAAAAAAATAAAAAGGGCTGGGGATGTGGCTCAGTGGTAAAGTGCCTCTGGGTTCAATTCCCCACTACCAATAACTAAGTAACTAACTAAATACCTGATAGGAAAATGTTGTATATATTTGTGGTATTCAAGATGATATTTTTATATATGTGCCCATTATGAAATGGCTCATTCAGGTTATTGAACATATTCATTATCAGCTATTATCAGCTTTACTGATGAGGAAACCAAAGCTCACAGAGGCCCCCATCTCAGAATGAATGAGTGATGGAGACTGGCCTCCACTCTGCACCCGAGCCACTGCACAGTCTGGTCTTCTTGTAGACCTGGTGCATGTGTGAGTGGGAGGACTTGCGGCACATGAATTGCACCAAACCTCCGAGAATTATTTCCTAGTCAAAGTTATAGTTCATTCCTTGGCTTGCGGTGCATTCATAAAGGCTGCGGTGCCAAGTTGTGTCTGGTCAGGAAACGAGAACCTGCTGTGAAGTGTTTGGACAGAGGGGCTTTGGTTCTAGGAGGTAATTGTGAAAGTGTGGGAGGGGTAGGGTTCAGGTGGGCAGATGCAGCTGAAGTTCACATGGACCCCCTTCCCCGAGAGCAGTTATAAAGGTGGGCACGAGCCCCTGTCCCCAAGAAAGAAAGACAAGTAAACAGCCCCACCCATTTCGGTGCTCTGGAGATGGACCCAGCCACACAGCAGAGAAGTGTCTGTCCCTGGGCGCTCGCAGCCCATGCACAGGTTGCAATACTTGGCTCTGGCGGGTTCTGTCCACATCCACCCACACCAGCTGGGTCAGTACGGGACTTCTGCCAGGAGGGGCAGCCTGTGAGGACCAGCTGCTCCCCCATTGCCATGGAAGCAGACCTGCCCCAGTAGATGGTGCTCATACCCAGGATAGTTCAGTGACAGTGACTTCCCTGAGGCAGGGGTGGGGAAGAGTCAAGGTGGGGCCTCTACTGGCCTGAGGACAAGGATGTGATTGGGGCCAGTGGGTCACACACGGAAGACAATGAGAGTCGCCAAGCTGACCCTAGCTCTTTGGTAGAAGCAGAGATGACTTAAAAGCCCAGGGAAGACCTGGGAGCGGCC